GGAGCACTGAGAGCTCCAATCCCAGATCTTTGGCAACGTCGCCCACGAAGGAGCCCTTCTGCATCTCCTCGGGCACCGAGTAGCGCAGCTGTCCCCAAGACAGCTCCCACGCCGCCACCAAGACGCACCAAAGCAGCGCTCCACCTCGCCGGGCTACACGTCCCTCTCGCGACCACATTTCCAGATCGGGACGCAGCTCTCGCCCTTCTCCTCCTCCCTCAGTGGCCCCTCACAGCAGCACGAACAGGCTCGTTTCGCTCCTTTCTGTGCTCCTTTCTGTGCTCTCCTTGCACTCACTCCGGCGGCTCCGCTCTCTCGGCCTCTGTTCTCGTCTCGCGCTCTCTGCCTGACTGTCGGCTCACCGTGAGCCAACAGCGACACTTGGAGCTGCAAAGCAGCACTGCAGCTCCCGCGCCGGCAAAGCTTCCCCTCCGCCCGTTTGATCTCCTTCCCAGCTGCACAAACGAATCATTCTATATGTCCCATAATTTTTAAGGCTTTCCCATGGAAACCCCAGGGTCGCTTCTTGTGCGGGCTTCGCGAAGGTGCTTCGTTTGTGTTGATGCATTCACCAGCTACATCCTTCAAGTGCAAAGAACAACAACGGATGTTAACTCATCCTTTCTTCCGCCCCCGCTCATCCCCCCCMAAAATTAAGCGATCTGGAATGAAGGAAATAAAGCTCCACAACTGCCTCCGCAGAAAAACTGCATTTTATTGTTTTTATCCTAATAATTTTATTAAACGGAGAGTGGGTTGAACATCACAGAATTTCRGGGGGAAAAATGCGGATATATTCCCTTTAAAGCGAGAAAACAAGGGAATAAGGGGAAATTTCGGTACTAATTATCGCACTAATGCGCTTCAAGGATCGACTACTGAAGAAAGAACGGACATGAAGAAAGTACTACCGATACACCGAAGAATTCTTTTATTTTCCATTTTCCCCTTTATTTTGGACGGGCGGTTGTGAGCTTGCGGGGACTGTTGGCGAAGACAGTAAGACGTTGTACAGTCTTGAGAGGCGAGGGAAATTGGTGATGCTTATCGCACTTGCTGGGTATTTTTTTTAGGGGAAGCTATTGTCAAGTCTCATTGGCCGGCTCCCTTCCATCCTGGGTTATCCAAGCGAGACTCTTCCACTCCGGTTTCGGAGACGTGATGCCCTCGAACCTTTAGTCAAAGGCTTGCCTGCKGAAAGGAGTGACKGGCAGCGTGCCGGGGCTCTGCGGGCGAGGTTCCTCGGYGGGGTKGAGGCCACCGCAGAAATTCTCGTCCCCAGCAGCTCCGCCGCCCGTGTCGCAGCGCTGTGGCGGCAGGCTGGCCAGGAGAGGCTTCAGGAACTTGAACTCGCTGCTGCCCGAGTCCGTGGTGAGGCTCACCTCGTAGCAGTAGGCGCGGGGCAGAGTCCCCGCGGCGGCCGCCTCGGCCAGGCTGCTCTGCAAGTCGCCGGGGCTGTAGAGCACGGTGCCCTCCTTCAGCGCCTTCCTCTTGCACACCTCGCACGCGACGAAGGAGGCGGCGGAYGCCAGGAAGAGTAGCGAGACGAAGGCCAGGGAGACRATYAGATAAAGCGTGAGGGAGTCGCCGTCCTCATCGTCCACGGCCAGGCCGCTGCGCGGCATGTGCGCGTCCGAGAAGCCGTCGAGCAGCAGCGCGTCCAGCACGGCYGTGGCCGACAGCGGCGGTCGCCCGTTGTCGCGCACCAGMACCACCAGCTTCTGCTTCACGGCGTCCCTGTCGCTCAGCGGCCTCTTGAGYCGCACCTCCCCGCTCTGGGTGCCCACGGCGAAGAGTCCGGGCTCCGTTGCCTTGAGCAGCTGGTAGGAAAGCCAGGAATTCTGTCCCGAGTCGGCGTCGACGGCCACCACTTTGGTGACGAGGTAGCCCGCCTCGGCCCACGTGGGCACCAGCTCGCTGGACGGCGGCGAGCTGTCCTGCGCGGGGTGCAGCACCACGGGCGCGTTGTCGTTCTCGTCGAGCACCACGATGCGGACCGTGACGTTGGAGCCGCGCGGCGGCGAGCCCGCGTCGGCMGCGCTCACCACCACCTCCAGYTGCCTCAGCTGCTCGTAGTCCAGYGGCCGCAGCACGAACACCTGCCCGTTCTCGGAGTTCACGGAGATGTAGGAGCGCGGGACGCGCTCTGCAGGACCTGCTGCCRCCAGGGAATACGTCACCCTCGAGTTGGRCCCCTCGTCCTCATCGGCCGCGCGGACGGCGCCCACGAGCACCGCCGCCTCGTTGTTCTCACGCACGTACATGGTGTAGGAGGTCTGGTTGAAGACGGGCGCGTTGTCGTTGACGTCCGCGATGTCCACCGTGAAGGTGCGCGTGACACTGAGAGGCGGGGAGCCCGCGTCGGCCGCCGTCACGGCCAGCACGTACCGCGCCGTCTCCTCGCGGTCCAGGGCGCTCGCCGTCACCAGCTCGTAGTAGTTCTTATAGGCAGCCCTCAGCGAGAAAGAGGACTGCTCCTCGAGCCAACACGTCACCCTCCCGTTGGCCCCGGCGTCGCGGTCCTTCACGACAAAGAGGCCCACCACCGTGCCGGGCAAGGCGCTCTCGGCCACGGGGCTCATGAAGGAGCTCACCACCAGCTCCGGCGCGTTGTCGTTCACATCCACCACCTCCAACAGCACCTTGCAGAGCGCCGACAGACCCCCGCCGTCTGTGGCACGCACGCTGAGCTCGTGCTTCTGCACCGCCTCGAAATCCAGAGGCTGYGTGACACGAATTTCACCACTCTGGGGGTCGATCTCGAACGCCGA